GGTCTATACCATTTTTGTCCTTTATTGTGCCCATTTTTGCATGAAATGTTTCCTTGGTATCTCTATTTTTCTTGAAAAGATCTCTAGGTTTTCCCCATTCTATTGTTTTCCTCTATTTTTTTTGCATTGATCACTGAGGAAGGCTGTCTTATCTCTCCTTGCTATTCTTTTTGTGGATAAATATAAAAGAAGGTATAAATATATATTCCCTTGATTTTAAAAATTTATTTGATGTGCTATATATTACTAAAATTAAGGTAATATTAACATAAATTATATTGATAAATTAAGATGTATATTTAAATCCCTGTAGCAAAGACTAAGAAAATAAAAACAAAACAAAACAAAAACCAAAAACTATCCTCCAAATCAACAGAGGAACTAAAATGATATACCAAAATGTTTGTTGAACCCAAAAGCTAGTAGAAAAGGAAGAACAAAGAAACAAAAAAGAGAAAAGCCATAATGAAAACAATTAGCAAAATGACAGATGCGAATCTACTGACATCAAAAATCACATTAAATGCTTCATCAAATAGACTAAACAGCTCAATGAAAATGGTGATATTATCATATTAGATAAGAAAGAAGGAGTCCACTATGTGGTGATTACAAGAGACATACTTCAAATTCAAAAATACAGCTAGATTGAAAGTTATAGAATAGAAAAGATATAGTATACGAACAGTAAAAAAAAAAAATAAGAGCTTAGAATGGGCTATATTATTCATATCAAACAAAATAGAGTCTTACAAAATAATTTTAGTAGCGATAAACAGGGACATTTCATAATAGTAAAAAGGGTCACAACATCACAAAGATGAAATTATTTGAAATGCATTTGAACCTAATAAGACTCTGAAATGTAATCAGCAAAAACTGAGAGAACTGAAAGGAGTTATGGACTATTCAATATTCATAGTTCCAAATTTCAAGACCTTTTATATTTATAGGACAAGTAGATGGAAAATTAATCAGAATATAGAAGATTTGAGCATTTTCTTGGCAATCCAGTGGTTAAAACCACCACTCCAATGCGGGGGGCACAGGTTCAATTCCTGGCCAGGGAACTAACATCCCACATACTGTGTGGCCTAGCCAGAGGCGGGGGCGCGAAAGAACCAAGATACAGAAGATTTGAAAAACATGATCTAACTGACATTTATAGAACAATTCACCGAACAGAAGCAAAATACATTCTTTCAAGGGCACGTGGGACATTCTCCAGGAAAGGCCACATGATAGGCCTTAAAACAAGTTTCCATGCTTGTAAAAGGATTGATGTGACTCGAAGCATCTTTTCCAACTGCAATAAAATTAAATTATAAAGCAACAACGGAAATCTGAGAACTCCCCAAATATCTGCAAATTAAACAACACATTTCTAAATAACCCAGATCAAAGAAGAAATCACAAGGGGAATTAGAAACTATTTGGGACAGAATGAAGACAGCATATATAAAACTTTATGGGATACAGTTAAAGAAGAACTTAAAAGGAAAGTTGCAGTTTTAACATGAAGATTAAATGTATTCACTGTCCAGAAAGGCCACTGTTATGAATTAGAAAAATCTTCTTGTATGAACAGATTCTAGACTTTGTTGGGATCTTTTTGTCAAAGGTTTTTAAGACTTCAAATATACATCATTGCATTTTGTATATTCACATGTATAATATATATTATAAAATGCCCTGTTAAGAAAAGATCTTCTACTTAATCACCACATAAAAATTCTTTCTAGGATCCAAGAAAGCCTTTGGTCCCCATTAACAAGGAAACAGTATCAGACTGTACTGGGATTTTCCATTTGGGGCTGGTGAGGCTGCACTTCTGAATAGTACTTCTCTCTGGTTGCCTGGGCCCCTGGTTTTCCTCTGGAATTTATTTGCACCTTTTCTAAGGGTGCCTGTTCCTGAAACAGACACCCCAGGAGGGTAGTGGGACAGGGTATCATATCCCCAGTTGCTATCTCAGTTCCCTTGATTGCTCTGTATTATTCTTTCTTCGAGTTCAGCTTGTAGTCCTGGATATGTCCAGGGCTTGACTGGTTTGCATTTATGTGGCTTATCTGCACTGGAGTCTATTCACATCCCCACTTCCTCATTTTTAGGCTTCATTCTTTGCACTCCCAGATCATCTTTCTTTGACACAGTTGACCTTCAATGGTTGACCTCCAAAGGTATCTCAGGGGACTCTAGGGCTGAGCCAAAATGCAATGGGAGATGTATGGTTGTTGGACATCCGAGATCATGGGGGGAGGAGAGAAGAGGATGCTGTCTTCTCAGGTGCTCACTTATCAAGCCCAGTTTATGAGCCCAGGCAATGGACCAGCTTCCTCTGCCTAAGTGTGAGGGACTGACTGCAAACCTAACATTTTGCTGGTCCCCACTTAAATGTCGTTGGTTCTGTCCAGGTCATTCAGGGGAGAAGAAAGGTCATTTCTTGCAGAGAAAGCACCAAGTAGGTGGGCTTCAGGATACAGAGATGAATTGTGAAGACTATTAATCAAAGTGAAAGTGAAAGTCACTCAGTCATGTCCAACTATTTGTGGCTCCATGGACTAGTCCATGGAATTCTCCAGGCAAGAATAATGGAGTAGGTAGCTATTTCTTTCTCCAAGGGATCATCCCAATTCAACGATCAAACCCAGGTCTCCTGCATTGCAGGCAGATTCTTTACTAGCTGAGCCGCAAGAAAAGCCCAAGAATACTAGAGTGGGTAGCCTATCTTTTCTCCAGTATATCTTCTAGACCCAGGAATCGAACTGGGGTCTCCTGCATTGCAGGTAGATTCTTTACCAACTGAGCTATCAGGGAAGCCATTAATCAAAGAGGGTTGAAAAACCAGTGTTGCTGATGTGAATGAGGCTGGGTCATTGTGGGGGATGGCAGGGGTGAAGGAAGAACATGGCCAAAGGATGTCAGAGGCAGGGCAAGTGAGATCTGAGACCTGGGCTCAGAACCAACTCTATGAATCACAATCGTGGGTGAGGGTGACTCTGTCACATGGTGCCTGGTATGTGAAGCAGGGGTGGATCATGGGCTGAAGGGACAGAATGAACGTTTCTCTCCCTCATTCTCCACTTGAGTCCATACTCTCCAGGTACTGGGAGAAAAGCAGATACCTGTGGTCCAAGGGATGGGCTGGGGATTGATGCATGACCTTGCCCTTTGTTGGCAAGCTTTCCCTCTCCCCTCTGTTTGTCAGCAGACAGACTGAGGCTGAGGCACTGGAGGAAGTTGGAAGATGGAAAATGAGTGGTCAGTGTATCCCTGTCCACAGTTTATAACTACTTCATCATTTAAACACCTTTGTCTCATTCTCTATGTTCAATCCCATCTTTTAGGAAACTTTCAGGCTTTAGAACAGCTTTCTCATCAGAATAAGTAGGGGCAGACTATTGATTTCATTCAAGAATGTATTGAGCACCTACTGTGTATATGCCATGCAAAGCGTAAGCCTTCTTGGGATGCAGAAGCCACAGCAGGAGACTTAGGGTTCCTGTCTGCTATTAGATGGGACCAGTCTGGATCTTGTGTCCCTCACGGGAACTCGGTGACCAGTGCATGCTCAGCAGACCTTCACTGAACTGAGGTGTCAGCTGAAGACCCTGACACTTTCTGTGGGTGCAGTGGGATGGGTCAGTTTTCAGAGGATCCTGAAAATAATTGTGCTTAGCTGTGAATGGAAAGTGAAAGTAGGGGAACAGAGAAGAGAGAAGTGGAAGGGGCAAGAAAGAAGAAACGTTTTCAAACAACAGGGCTAAGACAGAGAGGCCTTCTGGAGATAAAAGGAAGAGCTGGTTAAAGGGACAATGAGAACAATGAAGCGTGACCTCAATTCCCAAGCTGGGGTCCTGAAGGGAGCAGTGTTCCCATGGGGCAGATTGGCACCACTGTGCTGAGTGCTCACAGCTTAAATGTACAGAAAACACCCACCAAATGCCAACTGTCTTTGTGTGTGTTGGTGCTGTTGGCGGGCTCTGCAGTATCTCAGGAAGAGCCGCTGAGGGGTTGAAACCCAAATACAGCTTTCTCTTTGCAAAAAGATTGTAAAAAATATCCCAAGCCTGTAATGCTGCTTCACACCGTGCCATCTGGAGCAACCTGAGCATAATGTTGGATTGTGCGAAGTGTAACAGTACAGTGCTTGGGTTCTGGTTGACCTTACCAGACTGTACTCTCAAATCCTTTCTTGGGTGGAGAGCCATGACTTGTTAGAGACACGGAGGCAGATGATGAGGTTGGAGGGGCAGAAATGGAACGTGTGAGAAGCCCCGGTTCTGAGTCTTGAGTCTCCAAGTTTGTTCATGGTGTAAGTGGGCAGCCTACAGGCACTGCGGAGTGTGTCTCCTGCACCCAGAGGTCCCCAGGAGGGGCCAGGATCTGGGCAAGCTCTGCAGCTTTTCCCGTTTATCCCCACACCAAGGCGGCTGATGCTCGTCTCTACCCCAGGACCACCTGGCTTTGCGGAAACCAGCTTTCTAGCTTTACTCCTCTCCAGATCCTCCTTCTCCAGGGCAACCACACACACGATGCCATTTTGCAATTTATTTTCATTTTGCAGAGAAGAGCCTTCCCTCATCTTCCTGCCTTGGCATTGGCAGCCTGGCTGTGTTAGTCTTGGACAGCCCTGGGCTGCCTCGGCCTCGGAGCTGGCATGGCCTTGTTATGCCAGCTGGAGAGGGACAGCACACCTGTGGGGGAGAGGGACGGGCCTGGGGGGAGGCTGGGCAGGGGTCTAATGACTCAAGGTGGCACAGGCTTGCCAGGATGACCTCATCCCTTTATCTTCCCAGGCAGGCTTTCCAGGCTCCATGGAGGAGCTGGGGTGTTTATGCAGCTGCCCATCCCCTGGGGCAGCCCTCCATCCCACCTGGGGTCACCCTTTCTGGCCTCCAGGTGGAGTCTGTGCTCCAGAGCTGGTCCCTCTCAGGTCTCCACCTTACAGAGTATTCACGCTGCTGTGTTTTCTTCTCATTTCACGTTTGGACAAGGTACTATTTTAAACAAGAAAACTGAAAAACAGATGGGCTGCGGTTTCCAGACTTCACGTCTCCAACATCATGACAGAAACCAGGAGTCAACCCAGTGGAGGCTCTAGGACCGGATTCTACATTTCTGACGTGGGCCAAGTCCTTGCTGAGGAGGCAGTATTGGAGCTTCCGGCTGGTGAGGGGACCAGGCGCCCCCCCACCCCCTGCCCTCCCAGCACCACTGTCCCCCTGGAGGACTCGGGACATGGTGACTAAGCCTCGCATGCTGTCGCCTGCCCAGGAGCCGCTGAGCAACTGTCTGGAGTAGGCGCTTGGAGTTGTTTTTCTAGAGGTGGTGGCAGGAGGCCCTAAGTCACCAGTGGTCTCTGCCCTCGTCCCCCCACCCCCGGCCCTGGAGCCCGGGTTCTTCTTCAGAATGGGGTTCGGCAGTGTGGGACTCTGGACCATGTTTTCCTCTATGCGAAGAGGCCCTTTGACGGGTCAGGTCTAAGTCCCAAACCCCATCATCCCCTCAGAGAAGGATGAATTGATCCCAGGGGACTGCTCAGCTAAACGTGACCTAATGTAACAAGTGGCCTGGGACTGCAGATGGACCCAGAGACTAAGCTCTGCCTCCTCATAACTCAGACAAGGGATCTGAGTAGAAAGGAAGTCTTGTGAACAAAAGAAAAAGTACTTGGAGAAAACATATGAACTTTAGCTGTGGACAGGTTTGTAACAAGGAAAACTTCTCATAGCTGGCTCAGCGGGGTTCACCGGGAAGCCTCTTCTCCTGGCAGAGGAGTCTGAAGGAGAGTATGTTCTGGGAAGGGAGCCCCTCACACAGTGCTCCCCACAATGTGCTTCATGGAGCACTTGTCCTTGGAAGTCATTTTCACTGGGAAAGTGTTCACTGGTCTAATAAGACTGAAAGATGCTGCATTCTCTGCTTGGAGAGTCATGATAAACATTAATAATGACTCAAAAACCCACACTTGAGAAAACGCTGAACTCAGTTTAACCCTGTGTTTCCCAAATTGGCTTGATGGTAGAACACTAACATTGCAAAATATCTTTGGAACACATTTTGTGGAAAGTTGCTTTACTGGAAGATGTTACACGATGCCTGCGGTTGACAGCATCTTCCCTTCAAGCTGGGAAGCAGATATTCCTCAGGGATCACAGCCTCTGTCCATTTGAATGGAGGGGTGTCCGTGCTGGCTCACGGCCAAGTTGTGTAACCCTCGCCTGCAGCTGGAAGTTCGATGTGACATCCTTAAGAAGGATGGGGCAGGGGGTAGGGGGTTTTGCCTTTAAAGATTGGCTTCCTCAGGCTTCCCTGTGGCTCAGGGGTAAAGAATCTGCCTGCCAGTACAGAAGACACAGGTTTAATCTTTGGTCTTGGAGGATCCCACATGCTTCAGAGCAACTAAGCCCGTGCACCACAACTTCTCAGCCTGTGTTCCAGAGCCCAGGAGGCACAACTACTGAGCTTACGCACCCTAAAGCCAGTGCGTCACAACAAGAGAAGCCACCGCAATGAAAAACCCAAGTACCGCAATGAAGAGCAGCCCCCACTCACCACAACTAGAGAAAAGCCCACACAACGGTGAAGATCCAGCACAGCCAAAAATACATAAATAAATAAATACTTCAAAAAATTTCACTTCTCACATTGATGGTAAAAACTTCAGGGCTATAAAGATAGGGTAATCGTGCTCTGAGACTGAAAGGTTCATCCTGTTTAAGAGTTTTCCATCAGGATCCATTGCTCTGGAATGGATGTCTGGATGGAGATGTTGTTTTAAACATTTAAGAGTCATGGAGTTTGTCTTCTATCCCTTTCTTTGTAACTCAGACTTGCGCCTGTACCTGGCACCCCATTCTAGACTTCCTGGATGGAATCCACAGAATTCAGCTTTATTTCTGGTCTGGGGACAGAGTAAGTGTGTTGTCCTTAGTATGGGTCGTTCCTGACTTAGTTTCATGTGTTGGATTTTCAATGGACAAGAATTTATGACCCAAGGTTTGGAAACACTTAGTCAGAGCCCCAATCCTTCCACAGAGTTCATCCAGGCACTTCAGCTCTGGACTTGCTTACAAAGACTTGCTATTCATTTCTTCACACATTTCCTGGGGGACCTTGTTCCTGCTGGCACACAGCTCTGTATTCCTGCCTCACCTGCTAGTCTTCTGATAATTCATCACTTGACCACTGTGGTTTTCCTCCTGGCAGCATTTTGCTGTGTTATGTTCACCTGTAGCCCCATCTGGACCACAAACTCAGCTTCAAAGCCCTGACAAAACATTCTATCCCATTATAGTTACCCTTTATTTCATCTAAGAAGTCCTTAAGACCTGTTACAAGGCATGAAACACAAGCTAGTCCACCTTTTCCCTCCCCCAACCCACCAATCGACTTCATGTCTGCTACAGATTTACCTTCAAAGGGGAACTGGTGAAAAGGGGGTTCACAGGACTGTGCTGAGTTCTGGGGTTGCTTCCATTTCCCAGTCTTGATAAATTTACCGGCTAAAAAAACATTCCCTCGGAGCCACCTCTGCTGACCCGTCTGACACTGCTAGGGCTTGACAGCCATTCACTGACTCCTGAGGTCAAAGGAGTTCTGGCTTCAAAGGGAAAATGCCGGACACGGGTGCCTCTGTTGGCGGGTGTCTCCTTTCTCCTAATATTTGATTGATTCTCATACACAGAAGGGGACAGAAAGAGCCCACTAGTCACCCCCAGCACACGCTTATAATTACAGTGTGATCGCTTGCTGTCTGGGTGGTGAGTCTGTGCTTGACCCGACTTGAGGCGTCTTCCTTCCAGCACTGACCTTGAGGCCAGATCCTGCAGAAGGGCACCATGTTATGTGCGTTAAAGTGACTTAACAGAAGCCTTTTTTAAAAAAAATTATTTATTTTTTAATTGAAGGATAATTGCTTTACAGAATTTTGTTGTTTTCCATCAAACATCAACAAAAATCAGCCATAGGTGGGCATATGTCCCCTCCCTCTTGACCCACCCTCCCATCTCCCTTCCCATCCCACCCCTTTAGGTTGATAACAGGGCCCTTATTTGAGTTCCCTGAGACATACAGCAAATTACTGGCTCTCTATTTTACATATGATAATGTAAGTTTCCACGTTACTCTCCCCATGCATCTCACCCTGTCCTCTCCTCTCCTTGTGTCCATAAGTCTAAGAGAAGCCTTTGACTAAATCCGCATTTACTTACCTGATGTTTAAAAGGGAAACAGTCACTCTGCTTTTTTGCCTATGCTGTGCATAGTTGCTCAGTCATGTCCAATTCTTTGTGACCCCCATGGACTGCAGCCTGCCAAGCTCCTCTGCCCATGGGATTCTCCAGCCAAAAATACTGGAGTGGGTTGCCATGTCATCCTCCAGGGGATCTTCCCAACCCAGGGATCAAACCCAGGTCTCACACATGGCAGACAGATTCTTAACTGTCTGAGCCACTAAGGAAGGCCAAGAATACTGGAGTGGGTAGCCTATCTCCAGGAGATCTTCCTGACCCAGGAATTGAATCAGGGTCTCCTGCATTGCAGGCAGATTCTTTAACAGCTGAGCTACTAGGAAGCTCTTTTGTCTACATCAAGTCAATAATCAGATGGATTATTTCCGTGATTGACAGCTTATGCACATAGCTGCAGAGCCAGTTTGAATACGCAGGGATGTGTCTGGGTGTGAGAAGCATCCCAGCTTTCATCTACTAGATGGATAGAACTGTTACAAAGTGGTGTTCATACAGCGGGCAGCAATGGCTCTGCTCATCACTTCCCAGGATCCGAGCTGGGATGGACTTAGGTAGTCCTTAAAAGCCATTGGCTATCTTGTTACACAGACCTCTTCTCTTCCCTGGACCCAGCCTCTCTCCCTTTGTTTGCCTTGCAAATCACGTGTGCTGACTATCTAGATGACACCCAGGGAAATAAGCACAGAAACTCACCCAGAAACAACACAGTAAATTGTGGAGCAAGGGGAACTGAGTTGCATCGCAGAGCCAGGGTCCATCCAGGGTGATTTCTCAGTTTCTGAAAGCCCAGGATGGATAAGTGGCTAGAAAATTCCTAAGTTAGAAACAAACAAGGACTGTCACCACAAGGTTCACACCTTCTCATTAAAATCTTCTGTTCTCCTGCCTGCTACCCCCAGCTTTGACATTGCCTTGGGCAAGGAGAGTGTGAGCCATATTTTAAAATATCTGTGCAATCCATCACCTGGCTTTCATAACAATATCTGGCCCTGGACTTTGTGTAAGACCTCAGGCAACTTTTTGAACCTGGGAGGTATTTATTCTGAAGGCAATTAAAAGCGGTGTTATCTGGAGCCACCTGGAAATGAGTTCTGTCTCACTGATGAGTGGCTGTTGAGATATTTTACAATGTTGCTTCATCGGATCTGAGAGCCCACTGTGGGGCCTAGTGCTGAAGAGGCTCTGGCTACATACATATCTGGTGATTATACAGTATTATAATAACAGTGACCCTTTAAAGATTTTAATACTTCTTATGTGCCAGCCATATAGTTGGATGTCATTCTATAAAAAATGAAGCTCATGGGGAAGATCATCTTACTGTCGTCCTCACTGAACTGTGAGGAGAATGAGGCTTGGAGAACTGGAGGAGCCTCTCCAAGGTTGTGCTGCTACAAAGTTGCCACTGGACACCTGGCCAAGTCTGACCCAAAACCCAGACACTTCCAAGCTCAGCTCCACTGCCTGCTGGAGCAGAAGGCAGGGTGGGGAAGGGCACCCTCCGAATTTCCATGCTCTGAGCTGGGGTGGAAAAAACCACAGCGGAGGGCACCTCAGCATTGGATTTGGACCCCAGCTCTAGGCGCTAACAGGAAGCCTGGGTGAAGGACTGTGGTTGACAGTGACGGTGATTCTGACAGGTTCTGTACAGCTCTCTGAGGGAAATGCCTACCTCATAGGGTCTTATAATTGAACGAGAAGATGTTGACAAAGTGCCTGACAAATACTAAGTGCCCATAAAATAATCCTAAAGGAAATCAACCCTGAATATTTACTTGGACTGATGCTGAAGCTGAAGCTCTAATACCTTGGCCACCTGATGAGAAGAGCCAACTCACTGGAAAAAACTTTGATTCTGGGAAAGACTGAAGGCAGGAGGAGAAGGGGATGACAAGGATGAGATGGTTAGATGGCATTACCGACTCAAAGGACATGAGTTTGAGCAAGCTCTGGGAGATAGTGAAGGATAGGGAAGCCTGGCGTGCTGCAGTCCATGGGGTCACAAACAGTTGGACGTGACTGAGTGACTGAACAACAATAAAATAATGGTTATTATGTAGACTTTTTTCCAATCATGAAAGTGGGTGATGGAAATTTTCAAGCCATTTCACAATGACCATGTCAGCCACTTTTCTTCCCTTTTATTCTTCCTCACATCATTTCTGTTCAGGTGGAAATTTGTCTTTCTCATTATTTAGGGCTCAGTTTACTGAGTTCTTTTATCCCCAGAAGAGTCACATTCTTTTTACCAAACACAGTAACTTCTACGAGGGTTTGTTCCCTTCTAATTATTTTTGGGGGTGAAAAAGATGAGTATTCGTGGGGTAATAATGATTGTGTTTATAGTAATGATTCCCACTTATTTAGTGTTCAGTGCTAATGTGCTAAGCCCTTTTGCATGTGTTTTCAATTAATTCCAAAATAATCCTATGAGATAAGTGTTATTGTACACATTCTACAGATTAGCAAGGTCATCCACTTTCTCCAGGCATCAGCATATGGTTTTGCCTGGTCATAGGTTGCTGGTAGGCACCCAGATCTCTGGGTGTCCTGGCAATGTCCCCATCTTTTCTGTAAAGAACCCTCCATTTGCTGGCAGCCACAACCTAGCACACTGTCTTCTAACCCCGAGGGCTTCCCAATTTATTCGGATCATATGTGGTGTAGCCTTATATATGGGGGTCCTCAGACCCATCCTTCCATTCTGCATAAGCAGTTGCTGGCACGTCCCCCCACCTTTTGTCCACTGGGATTGCTCATGCACGACCTCACACTCACAATGTTGTTGCTATTCAGTCGCTTAGTTGTGTCTGACTCTTTGCCATCCCATGGACTGTAGCCCGCCAGGCTCCTCTGTCCATGAGATTCCCCAGGCAAGAATACTGGCATAGGTTGCCATTTCCTTCTCCAAGGGATTGTCCCAAGCCAGAGATTGAAACCTGTGTCTCCTGCAATGGCTGGCAAGCTCCCTGAGCCACCCGGGAAGCCCTTCTGAATGTTACATTCGGCATAAAATATCGTAGGGAAAAGCTCTCCTGAGGTCCACACTGATGTGTCACCTGGTAACTCGGGTCTGAATGAGCATCTCGAGACAAAGTACACCCAGAGGATCAAGGAGCCCTCCCCTGAAACAGAATCACCTAGATGCGCATAGAAACCATGAGAGCTCATTGTCACAACCTTCCTGCGTTCCCACCACCATCAGAAAGCACTGAGGGAGGGCTCTGTTTCCGGGAACCCTATACTCACCATCACTCAGAGAAAGTCTCGCTCTTCTGTGTGTTTACAAAGAGAGGGAGAAACACTGAGGCTGATGGGCGCCAAGAGGAAACAGACACAACTATATAACAAACAGTGGACAAACACAAATAGTTAAGGACAAACATTGGCTTTGTACGAGAGCCAAGAGTGCAGGGGAGCCATTGCATTTACAGAAGGGAGCCTTGTTCCCACAGATGGGGCCATCGCCGTGTCCTGTCCTCACTGGACTCAGCAGAGATCGCAGGTTCCCAGGGAGTTGGGTATGACCTGCAGTGACCACTGTGCAAGCGTAGGGATCTGAGGGGCTTCTGGACCTTTGTGGAGAAATCAGGAGGGGCTGGAGTTGTTGCTTGCAAAGCGCCTTCTGTCCCTGCTGTGCTCCGTGTGTTTAGTTGTTAAGTCGTGTCTGACTCTTTGCGTCCCCATGGACGGTAGCCCACCAGGCTCTTCTGTCCCTGGGATTTCCTAACCCAGGGATCAAAGCCACGTCTCCTGCATTGGCAGGTGGATTATTTACCAACTGCGCTACCTGTGCCTAGGTACTCCAAATCAGCTTCCTATATGTTGTCTGTCCTTTGCAGTGGAGACAGAGTTAATTGCCCTTACTTTTCCCACTGCTCTGCTTCAGTGGGGAGGGATGCCCAGGAATAACTGATTCATACATCCCCAGAAGAGAGGGAGCTGCAGAGAAAAACTTGCCTCAATCCAACAGTCTGATGTCCACCAACCAAAACACGCATTTGGAAATATCTATTAAAGAA